CTTCAGAAAGGGCAAGAAGGAGGACCCGGGTAACTATAGACTGGTCAGCCTCACCTCCATCCCTGGGAAAGTGATGGAACACCTTATCCTTGGTGCCATCTTAAGGCATATCAAGGATAAGAGGGTTATGAGGGGCAGTCAACATGGCTTCACCAAGGGGAAATCATGCTTGACCAATCTCTTAGCCTTTTATGAGGAAATAACACGGTGGATGGATGATGGCAGAGCGGTGGATGTGGTCTACCTTGACTTCAGCAAAGCATTTGACACAGTCTCCCACAGCATCCTCACAGCTAAATTGAGGGAGTGTGGACTGGATGATCAGGTAGTGAGGTGGACTGCGAACTGGCTGAAGGAGAGAAGCCAGAGAGTTGTGGTTGATGGGGCTGAGTCTAGTTGGAGGCCTGTGACTAGTGGAGTGCCTCAGGGGTCAGTACTGGGACCGGTATTATTTAATATATTCATCAATGATTTAGATGAGGGAATTGAGTGTACTATCAGCAAGTTTGCTGATGACACTAAGCTGGGAGGAGTGGCTGACACGCCAGAAGGCTGTGCTGCCATCCAGCGAGACCTGGACAGGCTGGAGAGTTGGGCAGGGAATAACTTGATGAAATATAACAAGGGAAAGTGTAGAGTCCTGCATCTGGGCAGGAACAACCCCAGGTTCCAGTATAGGTTGGGGAACGACCTGTTAGAGAGCAGTGTAGGGGAGAGGGACCTGGGGGTCCTAGTGGACGACAGGATGACCATGAGCCAACACTGTGCCCTTGTGGCCAAGAAGGCCAATGGCATCCTGGGGTGTATTAGAAGGGGGGTGGTTAGTAGGTCGAGAGAGGTCCTCCTTCCCCTCTACTCTGCCCTGGTGAGACCCCATCTGGAATATTGTGTCCAGTTCTGGGCCCCTCAGTTCAAGAAGGACAGGGAGCTGCTGGAGAGAGTCCAGCGCAGGGCAACGAAGATGATTAAGGGAGTGGAGCATCTCCCTTATGAGGAAAGACTGAGGGAGCTGGGTCTCTATAGTTTGGAGGAGACTGAGGGGTGACCTTATAAGTGTCTATAAATATATAAAGGGCGAGTGTCACGAGGATGGAGCCAGGCTCTACTCAGTGTCAAACAATGATAGGACAAGGGGTAATGGGTACAAACTGGAACACAAGAGGTTCCACTTAAACTTGAGAAGAAACTTCTTCTCAGAGAGGGTGACAGAACACTGGAACAGGCTGCCCAGGGAGGTTGTGGAATCTCCTTCCCTGGAGACATTCAAAACCCGCCTAGACACATTCCTGTGTAACATTATCTAGGTGTTCCTGCTCCGGCAGGGGGATTGGACTAGATGATCTTTCGAGGTCCCTTCCAATCTCCAGCATACTGTGATACTGTGATTTCTTGATCCTGCAGCCAAGCAGGTCCAACTCCCTAATGCAGAGAGGCTGGTAAGAAATCTCACCCATGAAGCTTAATCTCATCACTCAGCCTGTCCCCTTTGAACAACATCCTTCTATAGCTCCTTCCTCTCCCCTGCTCTCCCCTCTGCCTAGCCGCAAGGTGGAGGTACCAACTTTGCAAGTCAAACAAAGAACAAACCAATTTACAAAACAAGTCTCTAATTTACAGACTCTCTTCCTCATCTCCACATACCTTCCCTGCCAGGCAGAGAGAAGCAGCAAGCATCCTGCCATTTGCTTACAGGCAAGGTTTTAACTGCGTGGGGAATTGAGGATAAGGAGATACCTTCAGGAAGCAAGACCTAAAGGAATCATTATATCATCCAGACTGGCCTCCTGTGCATCAAAGGCTGAATGACTGAGGCTCTTTGTCTGCTCTACCCAAGAGGATCACTCTGGAAGGGAAGCTGAGAAGTAGTTTGCACACTTTTTCACAAACCTGCATGCTCTGTTTATCAATTAAAATAGGAAATAGATGACTTTCAAGCCATAGGTTATTACAGATATGTCCCTGTAAAAATGCTGAGGGATTTACAAATAGCTTTCCAACTAAAAATGAAAAACACTCAAAAAAAAAAAAACAACAAGAAAACAACTAAGGTGCATTTTAATATCCTTTTGACATTACTCTCTACATTAGTGAAAAACTGAACAAGAGTGCTGAAACAGTGGATGTGCATGCAACGTCTAGCATTCCTTTCCCCCTCTAGGAGCTCTCCCCATGCCCGGCACAAACTGAGCAGTTGGCACAGCAGAGGCAGCACACGTTGCTCAGCCCCGGGGAGTGGAGGCCTGGGTGAGCCTAGGCCAGCTTTGATACCAGTGAACGCCCTCCCAGCACAGGAGCTCTGCTCCACTTGGGAGAAGCAGAAGAAAGGAAGGCCAGTGGTTTGCTCAAGGACATTACATAATATCTTGAGTTGGAAGAGACCCATAAGGATCATTGTGTCCAACTCCCTGACCTTCTGCTGTTCAGCAGATGGAGAGGTACAAAGGAGCTATCCCAAACCAGACCGCACTATGGGATTTATCATGGGCTCAGAGGAGCGTCTGGCCCCTGCTGGAGCTTGCTGGAAGAGAAGAGAGCCTTAGGATGGACTGAAAGGTTTTATCAAAGACATGAGGAGCTACACCTGAAGTACCCATCCATCAGTGCTCCTTGGGCTCAGGAATTCCCAAAGGTTTTGTTTTCCAGGAGACTTCAGAAAACACAATGAAATGTAGGCATAGTAATGAAATTTAGGCATAGACAAAACCTGAAAATTTGGAAGAGACCTCAAAAGCATCCTTTCCCAGAATACACCTCAGAGTAATGCCAGTACACTGAGCAGTTCCACTTCTGCTGGTGTCCTGGGTTCAGCTGTAAGTTATTTTTCTCCTTAGAAGCTGGTGCAGTGCTGTGTTTTGGCTTTAGTCTGAGAATAATCCTGATAACACACCAATGTTTTAGTTGTTGCTAAGTAATGCTTACCCCAATCAAAGACTTCTCAGTCTCATGCTCTGCCAGTGAGGACAGGCACAAGAAGCCAGGAGGAAGCAGAGATAGGACACCTGACCCAAACTAGCTGTCCTGGGTTCAGCAGTAGCAGTCATTTTCTCCTTAGTAGCTGGTGCAGTGCTGTGTTTTTGACTTTCAGCCTGGGAAAAACACTGATAACACCCGTTTTTAGTTGTTGCTAAGTAATGTTTACTCTGACTTTCTGAGTCTCATGCTCTGCCAGGGAGGAGGGGAAGTCGAGAGGAAGCAGAGACAGGACACCTGACCCAAACTAGCCAAAGAGGTATTCCATACCACAGCACATCATGCCCAGTATATAAACTGGGGGCAGTTACCTGGAAGGGCTAGATCACTGCTCGGGTTGGGCTGGGTATCAGTTGGCAGGTGGTGAGCAGTTGTATTCTCTTTCCTTGTTATTCCTCTTATCATTATTATTAATGGTGGCAGCAGTAGTGGTTTTGTGTTATACCTTAGTTACTGGATTGTTCTTATCTCAACCCATGGGAGTTACATTCTTTCGATTCTCCTCCCCATCCCTCTGGGAGTGGGGGGAGGAAGGGGGAGGTAGTGAGCAAGCGGTTCTGGGTTGCCAGCTGGGCTCAAACCACGACACTAGCCAAAAGGGTATTCCATACCACAGCACGTCATGCTCAGTATATAAACTGGGGGAAGTAACCTGGAAGGGCAGATCGCTGGTCAGTTCAGGCTGGGTATCAGTTGGTGGGTGGTGAGCAATCATATTGGGCATCACTTGTGTTTATTGGGTTTTTTCCTTTCCCTTCTTAGCTTTATATTCTCTCCCCTTGTTATTTCCCTTATCATTATTATTGGTGGTAGCAGTGGTAGTTTTGTATTATACCAATTATGCCAACTGGACTGTTCTTATCTCAACTCGTGGGATTTTTTTCGATTCTCCTCCCCATCCCGCTGGGAGCGAGGGGAGAAGGGAGTGAGCGACTGCATAGTTCTGAGTTACCTGATGGGTTTAAACCGCGATAGCTCAGGAGCCGGCAGCTCAGCTGACGCGAGCAGCTGACTCATAGGGGGCGGTGCCAGGAGGGACAGCACCACCCCTGAGCGGTGTTTTACCACCAGCCTTGGGAGCGCGGCGCAGCAGTTTGCGCAGGCAGGGCGAGTGATAAAAGCCCAGTAGCCTGACAGGCTTCAGAGGTAGGATTAGCTAGCGGTCATCGAGAAAGTGTTCTAAGATGGTATCCTCTCGACAGAAAGCAAAGAAAACTAAGTTATCTCTGCTGGCCAGGAAGGACATGGCAACTCAGACCGAGGTCCTTTATAAACATGTAACAGTTCAGGCATCTGGCTGTAGTGAGTGCCAGAGCCTGTTGGTGATGTTAGATGGTGGCTGTGTAAGATGTCAGAAGATTGATGACTTACTCTGTGGTGGCAGACCTATGGGAAGAGGTGGAATGGCTAAGGAGCATAAGGGAACATGAGGAAGAGATTAACTGATGGACCTGCACTCTACCATCCTTGAGAGTACCAAGCCAGCTACCCAAAACAAAAGAACTTCAGGATCCCCTACCTTCTTGGGGGGCAGAGGGAAGGCAGAGGGAAGGAACCTAGGAAATATGGGAGGTTGGAAAGGGGTTACTCCTCAGAGTAGATGGCTTATTACCTCCCAGCTTGCATTACCTTCACAAGTACTCCCTTACAATGGATATGAGGCCCTGGTACTTCAGGATCAGGAAAGTGGAGAAGATGATGATAAGGGATCATCCAGTTTAGAGGAGTTCTCACAGAAAAACCGGAGATCACCTCATTTTATGACCAGCTGTACAAAAAAAAAAAAAAAAAGAGTGGTAGTGATTGGTGACTTCACTCTAAGGTGAACAAAGGGCCCCATGGCCCCATATGTCAGCCTGACCAAACTCACAGAGAAGACTGCTGCCTCCCAGGAACCAAGGTAAGGGACTTCACCATGTGATAAACGCATAAATGTATTGGCTTTCCCAAATCATAGGTGTTGCTATGTGGACATAACTGTATGAGTTTCCAATAACAGAAAAAAAGCTCTCCAAGAACACAAGATTAGACAAGTTGAAAATGGCCAGAACTCTTGAGCAAAATGGAGTCACATAGCAAAAGAATTTGTAAAGGTAAAAGAAAAGGGGGAGGGGAGGGCTTGATATGAGGAAAGCTAGTGCCTGGAAAACATAGGGTTAAAGTACTTTTAGCTTAACTTAGGTCAAAGATAAAGAACAATTTTTGTGTTTGTACTGGGTTCAGCAGTAGCAGTCATTTTTCTCCTTCTTGGTAGCTGGTACAGTGCAGTGTTTTGACTTTCGGCTCGGGAACAGAGCTGATAACAATGATGTTTTGGTTTGACCAAGGACTTTGTGAGGCTCAAGCACTGCCAGGGAGGAGGGGAAGCCAGGAGGAAGCAGAGATGGGATGCCTGACCCAGGCTAGCCAAAGAGGTATTCCATACCACAGCACGTCATGCCGGGGGGGGGGGTGTAACTGGCAGTTACCCAGAAGGGCTGGGTCTGCAGGGTTGGAGGAGATATTGGTCGGTGCTTGGTCGGTCTGTGGGGGCAAGTTATCGGTTGGCTGGTGCTGAGGTGTTGTATTCTCTTTCCTTGTTATTTCCTTTATCATTATTATTATTGGTGGTAGCAGTAGTGATTTGTGTTATACCTTAGTTACTAAACTGTTCTTATCTCAACCCGTGGGAGTTGCATTCTTTTGTTTCTCCTCTCCGTCCCTCTGGGAGTAGGGGGGAGGAAAAGAAAGGAGGGGAGTGAGTGAACGAGTTGCCTGACTGGGTTTAAACCAGGACACTGTTGTAAGTCTGTGGTGAGATAACAGGATTTAGTGGTCCCAGTAAACATGAGTGAATTATTTCACACCATCCTTCTACTTATCAGTTTGGAGACACTGCCTCCTGAACATCTGCTAGTTTTGGATGCTCCTTGTCTGCCTGTCCTGTTTTGCTTGCAATAAATTTTGTACGAAGGTCACACTGTTCTAAATCTTTGCCAGCTATCAGAAAAATTACAGATATGGCTGGTTTCAGCTAGTTTTGTGATTACTGCGGCATCCAACTGTACCAAAGGTGAAAAGTACACCATGAGGAAGACTGCTTACTTCATCTTGAAGACCCCTGCCCGCATGAGGAAGACTGCTTACTTCATCCTCAATACCCCTGCCCACGATCACCAGAGAGCAGTGCACAGACGCCAAGAGGAGGAGACTTATGATAATAAGTTCCTGGAGCTTGTTATAATATTCCCCGCCTATACCCAGGAATTATGAATATGTATATGGCTAATGCAATAGTGAAAGTATATAAACCTGTAACAAATGCTAATCAGTACGCCTCTGGTTACGGTCATGCGCCCAGCGCTGTTGCTTTTGCTTTATTAACTATGTCCCTCAATAAAACCCTGTTATCTCAATTAGAGGAGCGAGCTCGTATTTCACAACCAGAAAACTCACACATCTGGTACAGCCCTGTGACTACTCTCCTTTATTAGTCTTCCAGGTGGGCAATGGAGAAATCTCTTCAAGAAGGATTTCAGGGCCTTGGGGTGACTGGTTCAGGGTTTGGAAGCCCAAGCAGTGTTCTCGTCCCTCCTGCCAACTGCAAACAATGACAATGGTTACATCAGAAAATTGCATTAATTAATTCCTGGCTCCATGACTGGTGTCAGTGCCAGAAATTTGGAGGTTTTGACCATGGGTCAATTTATACAGCATCAGGCCTGCTGGTGGCAGATGGGATACACTTGTCCCCAAAGGAGAAAAAGATTCTAGCCTAGGAGCTAGCAGGGCTCATAGACAGAGCTTTAAACTAGGTTTGAAGGGGGAAGGAGTATAGCACCAGGCTCACTAGACATGAGCCATGGGGTAGCATGCTGTTGTTGGAGTCCAGATCCACAGGGCAACTTAAATGCATCTATGCCAATGCCTGCTGCATGTGCAACAAACAGGAGAAGCTGGAAGCTATTGTGCATCAGGGGAATCATGACATAATTGTCATCACAGAAATATGGTGGAATGATTTGTGTAATTGGAGTGCTGCAATGGATGGCTACAGGCTCTTCAGAAGGGAAAGGCAAGGAAAAAGAGGTGGTGGGGTTTTGTTGTATGTCAGGGAGTGCATCAACTGCCTTGAACTTAATGTTGTGAGTAAGAAGGCTGAATGTTTGTGGGTGAAGATCCAGGGGGAAGGCCAACCAAGCTGATATCTTGGTATGAGTCTGTTATAGACCCCCTAGCCAGGATGAAGCTTCAGATGAAGTGCTCTTCAAACAACTGGGAGAAGTTTCATGATCGCTTGCCCTTGTTCTCATGGGGGACTTCAACCTACCAGATGTCTGCTGGAAGTACAGCACAGCAGAGAAGAAACAGTCCAGGAGGTTCTTGGAGGGTGTGGAAGATAACTTCCTAACCCAAATGGTTAGTGAGCCAACTAGGGGAGATGCTTGGCTAGATTTGCTGTTCACAAACAGAGAAGGTGATGTGATGGTTGGAGGCTGTCTTAAGCAAAGCGATCACAAAATGATTGAATTTTTAATCCTTGGAGAAGTCAAGAAGGTGGTCAGCAAAACCTCCACCAGTCCAGAGACTTTGGCCTGTTTAGGATGCTGGTTGGCAGAATTCCTTGGGAAACATTACTAAAGGACAAAGGGGTCCAGGAAGGCTGGACAGTCTTCAAGAATGAAATCCTTAAGGCACAAGAGTGGGTGGTCCCTATGTGCCGAAAATCAAACCATCAGGGAAGAAGACCAGCCTGGCTGAACAGGGAGATAGTGCTAGAACTCAGAAAAAAAAGAAAAAGAGAATTTATCACCTGTGGAAGAAGGGACAGTTACCCCATGAAAAGTATAAGGATGTTGATAGGTTGTATAGAGAGAAAGTTAGAAAGGCAAAGACACAGATGGAACTAAATATGGCCACTGCCATAAAAGATAATAAAAAGTACTTTTTCAAATATATTAGCAATAAAAGGAGGTCCAAGAAGAACCTCCATTCTCTACAGGATACTAGGGGAAACCTAGTGACTGAGGATGAGGAAAAGGCTGAGGCACTTTAATGCTGCTTTTGCCTCAGTCTTCAACAGTCACACCAGCCATCCTCAGGGTACTCAGTTCCCTGAGTTGGATGGCAGAGATGGGGAGTTGATTGGAGTCCCCATAATTCAGGAAGAAATTGTTAGCAATCTCCTGCTCCACTTAGATATACACAAGTCTATGGGGCTGGATGGGTTACACCCAAGAGTACTGAAGGAGCTGGCAGAGGAGCTTTCTAAGCCACTCTCTATCATCTATCAGCAGTCCTGATCTAGTGGGCAGCTCCTAGGGGATTGGAGGTTGGCCAATGTGATGCCTCTCTACAAAAAGGGCAGGAAGGAAGACCCTGGGAACTACAGGCTTGTCAGCCTGACCTCAGTGCCGGGGAAGGTCATGGAGCAGTTGATCTTAAGTGAGATCATAAAGTATGTGTGGGAAAACAGAGGGATCAGGCCCAGTCAGCATGGATTAATGAAGGGCAGGTCCTGCTTGACCAACCAGATCTCCTTCTATGATAAGGTGACCAACCTGGTTGATGAGGGAAAGGCTGTGGACATTGTCTGTTTGGACTTAAGTAAAGCATTTAACACTGTCTCCCACAGCGTTCTCCTGGACAAATTGGCTGCTCATGGCCTGGATAGGAGGATTCTTTGCTGGGTTAGAAACTGGCTGGATGGCTGAGCCCAAAGAGTGGTGGTAAATGGCATCACATCTAGTTGGCGACCAGTCACTAGTGGTGTCTCTCAGAGCTCAGTGTTAGGGCCAGTGTTATTTAATATTTTCATTGATGATCTAGATGAGGGGATTGAGTGCACCCTTAGTAACTTTACAGAAACCAAGTTATCTGGGAGCATTGACCTACTGAAAGATAGGAAGGCTCTGCAGAGGGATCTGGACAGGCTGGATTGATAGGCTGTGGGCGATTTTATGAGGTTCAATAAGGCAAAGTGCTGGGTCTTGAACTTGGGCCACAACAACCCCATGCAATTCTCCAGGCTTGGGGAAGAGTGGATGGAAAGCTGCTCAGAGGAAGGAGACCTGAAGGTGCTGCTTGATGGCCAGTTAAACATGAGCCTGCAGTATACCCAGGCAGCCAAGAAGGCCAATGGCATCCTGGCCTGTATCAGAAATAGTGTAGCCAGCAGAGCCAGGGAAGTGATCATCCCCCTGTACTCAGCACTGGTGAGGCCACACCTCAAGTACTGTGTTCAGTTCTGGGCCACTCACTATAAGAAATACACTGAGGTGCTGAAGCATGTTTAGAGAAGGTCAACAAAGCTGGTGAAGGGTCTGGAACACAAATCTTAGGAGGAGCAGCTGAGGGAACAGGGCTTTAGTCTGGAAAAGAGAAGGCTTGGGGGGGACCTTATCGCTCTCTACAACTACCTGAAAGGAGGTTGTAGTGAGGTGTGGGTCGGTCTCTTCTCCCAAGTAACAAGTGATAGGACAAGAGGTAACAGCTTCAAGCTGCACCAGGGGAGGTTTAGATTGGATATTATGAAAAACTTCTTCACAGAGAGGGTGCCCAGGTATTGGAACAAGCTGCCCAGGGAAGTGGTGGAATCACCATCCCTGGAAGCTTTCAAAAAGCATGTAGGTGAGGCCCTCAGTGATATGGTTGAGTGGTGGTCTTGGCAGTCCTGGGATAATGGTTGTACTTGATGACCTTTAAAGGTCTTTTCCAACCTAGCTGATTCTATGATTAACATTTCTGATGAGGTAACTCAGGCAACCCTGCATATACATAAGATCTGCTCTGGTAGATTTATATTTCCACTCTGGATACCTTTTAGTAAACACAGACAGAGGAGCTTTTACCCTCAGACACTTCTGTACTAGAAAATTACTAGGCTCCTGTGGACAGAGCCAGGCGAGGCTTCAAAACTGTTCTGAGGAGAACAGGCAATAAAAAGGTTGTGTACCACTGGAATCAGCTGCATGCATGTTACACCACAGCACCTATAGCACTCATTGTCCTGTATATTTAACAAGTAAATGTTTTTGTTTCCTCCAAGTTGAATTTCTGGGAGACATGAGCCCAGCAGTCATCATGCAAAGCCTCAGGCTACACTAATGCAAGTGCAATTGGTTTATAAGTTAACTTTTCTACTGTCCCCTGTTTATTTCTTTTGCTGGAAGAGAAGTCAACAGGCCAAAGTGATTGTGCTGTTTATTATGAAACTGTTTGTCAGTTAATATTTGTGTTCCAGTGAGGCAAGGACAAGATAAATGATGCCTGCACAGCTGCCCTCCCTGCTGGAACCAGGTGCCAAGGGGCTGCAGAGGTCCCACACACAGGTCACTGTGTGGCAGCAGTACCCTTGAGACCCTGCAGTCTGCACCCTCCAGACCAAACTGTCCCAGCCTCACCCCTGCCTATGCATTCTTACTGGTACCTGTTGCCATAAACCTAACAGAGCAGCAAGTTGAATTTAGCCTTGCTCCAACCTCTCCTTCCAGAGCATGAGAATACTGGTGGCAATTTCTTCTGGCAACAAGCAGAACTAAAAGGATTAATCTGCTACATCTCTGTAAAAGTACTTCAATAATTAAGAGAAGCAACTGCTGAACAAGATTAGCAACAGATTAGAACAAAATATAAGCAGCAATAGGGACCTCTACAAAAGCATGCATCGAGGCGTTCTACCTGCCCTCCTGGCCATCCAGCCCAAAGCATGCAGCTGCTGCTTTGCTGTCCACTAATGTTCAGAAGGCATGTTGGTATTTCTTATTCCTTCTGCTCTCCTCTACCATGTACCACTGCTCCACTTCCTTATGCTCTCACCACATCCATTTTTGTACTGGTTTTTGAAATGCATGAGGGAGGCCAGTATCACTGACAGTCTTCGTTGATGCTGAGCTGTCATGTCCCAGAGGTCTATGAACGGGCTTCCTGGCCACATCTCCTCCCAGCTCTGGTTACAGCCACCCCATTAAGCAGCAAGTCTCCACAACAGGCACCTGCTGCTTGTCCTGGCTCAGGACTGCAAATGGGAAAAGAGCTGGGCTGGGCAGAGGAGGGAAGGGGGGAGCAGGCACCCTGTGTCCAGAGCTTCCTGGCAGGGAAGTCACATTCAGCAAAGACAGCAGAAGGTCAATTCTGACTGGCAGCCAGCAAAGCCATGTGGTGAGATCCACCACATGCTGGGACCACAGGACAGACACAGGGCACCCAGAGCACCTCACCTACTCCCACTCCAGACTGAGCCCTGCTTTAGCAGAAGACAGTGAAACACATTCCCATCACATCCCTGCTCTCATCATGGGAGCTACAGGAGAGCTGAACACCAACTGCTTTGCACTTGCTACTTCCCAAGCATTTGGGAACAGCTTCCTCTTGCTATGAGCAAAACACTCTGGTGCAGTACAGTGCCCTCCTGC